CATGTGTTTCACACCAGTAGATTCATGGATGTGTGCAATGGGCTTGCACACAGGCAAGTCTGTCTGTAGGTTGCCTGACTTGGAGCTGGCACCTTTCCTGGGCCAGGTCCTGTCTTTCTCATATCAGCTGTGAATACATTTGTCCTGGCCACTAGTGTCAGGCACAGTTTTCTGTCTGCCCATAACACCCACGTGAGCAGGTTCTCTTCTGTCCTCTGATTCTGCACCTCTGCCGCTGCGTTCCTGGATGCCTGCCTGAGGGGTGCTGCCGTCAGAGGGGGGATGACTCCTAACATTGTCTCTTCAGGTGGAGCAGGTCTCTGCCCCCGAACTGCATTGCTGCACCCGGGGAAACTGACCTCCAGGTGGAAACTGACCCGTGGAAACTGACCTCCACGTGCTCCTGGTCAGCGGCTGCCTTCACTGGAGGAGATGGGCCCTTGGCAGCCTGCAGTAGCAGACAACTGTTGGGAAGTCTTGCTCCATGATATTTGGATTGCAGTGGCACCTCCAGACCCCCCCAGCACTGCGCCAGGCACTGAATGAATGAGCGGCAAGAGGCAGCTGGGGCCTGAAGGACAGATTGTCGAGACAGACAAGACAGGGGAGTGGAAAGGATTGAAGAGAAGCAAGATGTTGAGCCCGGCATCCCTCAGCCAGTCCATCCCAGCACAGATGCAAGTGGAAACCAGTTCTCCTGAGTCCTAGTCCAGCCAGCGGCCAGTGCTCCAGCATGCTGTGGCAGTCTCCTGTAGTTGAGGAATAGCTGTCCTCCTCTCCTCTGTAAGTTCATTATTTATTCCAAGGAAGGATTTCAGTGAACACTGCACCCCAGCATCAAAGCCGTTGGGTACTGCCTAATATCTATGTCAGGTGCCCATGGCATGTGTGTGTGCGCTGTTGGAAGCACACAGCTGCAGAGGCGGACAATAAGGGATTTATTCTTTCCTGGGTGCAGAGGATTTGCCACATGGCCTTGCCTCCCCTCCCCTCACATGTCCCCTGTGTGTGTCAGGAGGCTCATTTATGCCCTTTCTTCCCTCCCTTCAAAATCTCGTTGCATTAAGAGTCCAAGCCAGCTTCTGTTCAAGTCCTTAAAGGGCTGGATCGACCCTAGGGCAAGCGTCATTTGGTTTAATTGGTATCCTTTTATAAACATTGGCTGGGAGAGTGGGTGTTGGGTGTTGAACAGGCCTGAGCACCTCAAAGTGTCTGGAGACCCAGGAGAAGGGCATGGAGAATAAGAGTTTAAATGCTTTTGCTTAGAGCTGTGAAATATTTATCACTGGTCCTGAATATTTCAGGAATCTTGATGGTTAGACGTGGCTGTCCCAGAACACCAGGCAGAAGTCAGTGCCTGGGGGAAGACTGCAGCCTGCGTCTGTGATAAGGCTGTTTTAGAGCCCTGAAAGCTTTGGCTTGGAAAACTGGTTTAGTTTTAAAATTGTCAGGTTGACACTGAAGACAGAAGGAATCATTGAATTGTAAGTAATTTAAACAAACACACAACACAAACTGGACTTTAGGAAGGCCTTCGACTCTCTCTCTCACCCCATTCTCATTAAAAAACTAGGAGACTGTGGTGTCAACACCTACACAGTCAGATGGGTCACTAGTTGGCTGGAGGGCCGCACCCAGAGAGTGGTGGTGGACGGGTCTTATTCAACCTGGAGGGATGTGAGCAGTGGGGCTCCCCAGGGCTCAGTCCTCAGGCCTGCATTGTTCAACATCTTCATCAGTGACTTGGATGAGGGGGTGAAAAGCACCCTGTTCAAATTCGCAGATGACACTAAGATGTGGCGGGGAGTGGGCACGCTAGAAGGGAGGAATAGGCTGCAATCGGACCTGGACAGGTTACAGGGGTGGGCGCATGAGAACAGGATGGGTTTCAACACTGACAAGTGCAGGGTGCTGCACCTGGGGGGAAGAACCAGCAGCACACCTACAGGCTGGGGAACTCCTTTCTCGTCAGTGCAGAGGCAGGAAAGGATCTTGGAGTCATTATTGATACCAAAATGAACATGGGCCGACAGTGTGGGGACGCGGTCAGGAAGGCCAACCGCATCTTGTCGTGCATCCACAGATGCATCTCGAGCAGGGCCAAGGAGGCGATGCTTCCCCTCTATGCAGCACTGGTCAGGCCGCAGTTGGAGTACTGAGTCTGGTTCTGGGCACCGCACTTCAGGAGGGATCTGGACAGCATGGAGAGGGTCCAGAGGAGGGCTACCCGCATGATCAGGGGGCAGCAGGGCAGACCCTACGAGCAGAGGCTACATGACCTGAACCTGTTCAGCCTCCACAAGAAAAGGCTGAGGGGGGATCTGGTGGCTGTCTATAAACTAGTCAGAGGGGACCCTCCAGCAGGCAATGGGGGAGTCCCTGTTCCCCCGAGCACTACTGGGAGTGACAAGAAATAATGGTCACAAGCTGGCAGAGGGTAGATTCAGGCTGGACATCAGGAGGCACTACTTCACTGTCAGGGCGGCTAGGATCTGGAACCAACTTCCAAGAGAAGTGGTGCTGGCTTCTACCCTGGGGGTTTTAAAAGGAGGCTGGATGAACACCTTGCCGGGGTCGTTTGACCCCAGTGCTTTTTCCTGGCATGGCAGAGGGTCGGACTTGATGATCTGCTCAGGTCCCTTCCGACCCGACAAACTATGAAACCCAACTGAAAATACTGACTTTTGTCTCTTTTTATGAAAATGAATTTTATTGCTGAACTTTCCATCTTATCTTCCCTGGCAGAGTTTTTTTGGGGGAAAAAAGGTGAAACTAAACAAAGATAACAAGTCTGTGATGCAAACTTTGCTCTCTGCTGCCATGGATTTCAGGGGGAAATATGGACCTATTTCCACTGCAGTCCCGGTGGGTCAGAGTTAAGGTGACCGTGCTACAACAAACACACTGTTCCTTTGTTCTTGATAAACCGTTTCACTGCGCGGGCAGTGCAGTTTTATGCCAGCTGTAGCTATTCATCTCTTTGTTTTTCAGAGCTTGGGGGTGTGAATGTGATAGGTTTCTACAGATGCTGTCACTTAGCAACTACAGCCATTTTTGCAAAGCAGCTTTTAGAGTCCTGGGATAACGAGACGAAGACAAACCGTAATCTGCACGTTGTGCTCATGGAGGGTGATTGTGATAGGGATGGACTCGGGGGCTCACCTGCAGCTCTGCTGCCTGAGGGGATTCACCTAGACCATGGCAAGAGAGGGGAAATGGCTTGGCCAACACTACCAAGATTTTAGCATAGCCAGGGCAAGTCATGCTTTAAAAAGAACTCACAATCCTGATGCACCCTGTCCGTCTGTCTGATTGCCTTTGCGCAGGTGTCAGCACAGCTTGGGAGCGAGTTGGGAACACGCTCTGAAAGTGGAAAAACTGCAAGCTGCCCGGGAGTGAGAAGCGTAGCAGGAGACTGAATGCGACAGGCACTGCCAGTGCCGTGAAGCACTGCAAATTCCCGAACTCCCCCACCCTGAAGCCTGCAGTGGCAAGACTGGGTGCTCTCAGCTTTGATCTGTGGCTGAGGACAGACAGTCTGAGAATTGCTGTCTGTTGAGGGGAGAGTAATAACGATCGAGAGCTGATATGGTCAGAGACTGTGCAAGGCCAGATTAAAGGTCTGAGCCCAGGGAAAGAAACACGCTACAGTGATGATGGCTACATTCCTGATTCTCCTGGAATTTTTGACAACTGAATATTGCTTTGTGCGTGTGCGTTACCATCGTATACTTTGAAAGTACAAGGAACTATTGGAATCACTAGACACAAGACGTAGGGACACCGCGGACTCTGGAAATCCGAATAGGTCCCTAGCATCATTGTCATTCACACCTGTCAAGCACTAAAGCTGTCAGTCCTTTACTGAATGGTGGCAGCCCTATCACAGTTGAAATCCTGTGGCCAGCTAAAGCTTGGGATCCAGTCCTAGCTCTGTTAATGTGCTCCTCAAGGTCTTGCATCTGATCTATGGGCAGGCTTGGGGCCAGCACGGCACTTAGTTAACGTGATAGCTTTTTACTGCAGTAGTGATAACTGTACCATACCGGACGTTGCACCCATATAATTACCCTTCACTTTTGGGGATAAGGTAGCAGAGTTCTCCTGCTTTAATCATGTGCAATAGATAAAGCAGAACCCCTCGTGCATGTAGCCAAGTCCTGATTTTGCCATCATTCTGCATTTTGAAATTGTGTAATGCAGACAAAATGCTTTTGTCAAGGGACCTCATTCATTTCCTCCCCTCATCAGGCCAGCAGCCAGTTGTGGTTACACACTGGTCTGTGACAAGTTACACCCCCGGCTGCAGAGGAACGGTCTGTTGTAGAGCAAGCTCTGAACATTTCCACTAAAGATGTATTTCTTGGTACTGAACAAAACCACTGTTCAAAACTGTTACTGCTCCTCCCCACAAAAATGCTGTGAGAGCTTTCATAGCGAACCTGCCAGACCAGTGTCCTTCCCCAAGCCAGATAACTTTTTGAATCTATTGTATTTGCCTCTAGAACTTGTAGATCTTTTGCTAGAGACCCAGCTGAATTTTATATACATATATATTTTCAAAGATACACATGGGAATGTATGTAAGGCTTTGTACATGGGCTCCCCATGAGGTTCTCCTAAGTAAGCTAAAGAAATATGGTTTAGATGGAACTATGGTCATATGTGCGTATAACAGGTTGGATGTTCATGCTCACTGGGAACGTCTACATGTTCATTAATGCACAGTAGTTACTGCACATTTAGTTTATTACTCAATGAAGTACTAACTAAATGTGCAGTAACTAGTTACTGTGCAGTAGCACAGGCACAGTTTGTTGCGACGGTTACTGCGCAGTAGCCTAATAACATCACCCAGTAGCATATTGGCATAGCTTTTGACCAGCACACTACTGTGCAGTGTTATGAGGCTGCTGTGCCGTAAGCATCTTGTGTAGACGCACCCACTGAGTCTTTAATGGCTTAACGTGAAAACAGGAGGGGAAGTATCAAGTGGGGTTTTGCAGGAGTCTGTCATGGGGCTGGCTCTGTTTCACAACTTAATGACTTGCAGGAGTGGATGGAGTAAGCTTGCGGATGATACCAAGTTCAGTGGGGTAGCAGATACTTTAAGACAGAATTAGGATTCAAAATGAGTTGGATAAATTAGGGACGTAGTCTGAAATAAATTGAATGAAATTTAGTAAGGGGAAGTGTAAAGCACTGTACTTAGGAAGGAGCAACCAAACACAGGAATATGTACAAAATGGGTGAATGACTGACTGAGCTGTCACCAGCACCGCAGGGCAGACCTGAATGCAAGCTGAAGGAGTCAACTGGGTGATATTGTTACTGAAAAAACTAAGACGGGGATGTTTTAACAGGAGCGTTATGCACAAGTTGCAGGAAGCAGTTCTGCCACTCACTCAGCAGTGTGGAGGTGTCATCTGGAGCAGTGTCCGGCTTTGGACAACACACTCCCAAAAGATGCGGGAAACCTGAAGAGTCCAGAAGGAAACAACAAGAACTAAGGAGGTAGGCACATGATTTACGCTGGAGTGGTTTTTTTCTTAACTCCGGGCGCACGATGAGGTTGTGGAATCTGTTACTGGAAGGTTTAGATAAGCACATGGTGGGGATGGTTTAGATAGAGATATCTAAACTGTCTGGCTAGGGGGTTGGACCCCTGTCTGGGTAGGGGGTTGGACCTCTTCAGGGACCTTCTTCATGTCCCTTCCAGCTGTATCTTCCTTTGCTAATCACAGGTGATATAGGTCCATAAGAGCTACGAATTAAAAGTACAGCTGTAGATATTTTTTTGCCCCATCAATTAAAACAGACCCACATCTTGCCAAAATTCATTAAGGCACTGTATGTGAAGGACCTAGCCAAAAACAAGGATCTGTTGTGTTGTCTGCTGCCTGTGCATAAGTGGCTAAAAAGATGAACAATCATTCACCAGAACGGTGCTGAAATGTGTTAAATGAAGAAATACACCTAAGATTCACATATGCACCCAGCACAGAGAGGATGGGGCTTCTGTCGCACTGAGCGGAGATGACACTCTCCCAAGATAAGCTGCGATTCCTTCCTCTTTCATGAGCAGCCTTTTGAAAACATTGTTTTTCTAAGTGACCTTCTCGGTGGTGACGGGGGAAGGTTTCTGCTTCCGGGGCATGCTGCACAAACATGTCAAACTAGATCTGACTTTTGAGTCTTAATGGTTTTGATGCTGTGTTTTCTTTGCAGCTCCCGATGGGGATGTATCTGGCCACATGCTGAAAGTGTTACTCCAACAAACAGCTGAAGGCAGCAGAGAATTTGCTTACAAGGGCTGCACTGTGCATTTGGACAAGCCTCACGGGTATGTCTGCCTCCTATAGGCACAAAGTTTGGGGTCTTTAAAACTGCAAGGGTTCGGTGTGGGCCTTTTGGGACTTCTTCCATGATAGATCAGGTCAGCCCCTGCGGGCCTGTTCGCACAGCCATGAAGTTCTTCCCGTCTCTACCGTGTTGTCCGTCATCATCGGTGTCCTATATGGGCAGACCATTGCCTAAACGTGTCCTTGAACCTACGTAATGAGGTGCTGGAGAGCAAGATACCTGCAACCTTTGAGGGTTTTTGTGTGTGCAGGACACAAACTCCTGAGCAACCAGGGCACGTGCTTGCAGATCTCTTATGAAATCCCAAATTCTGCAAGACAGAATCTCTGCAAGAACAGCCTCTATCCTCTGGCTGTGCTGCGGCCATTGGTGGATAGGAATTAAAGAGCCCCGGTGTCAAACTACATTTATTCTTCCCACGGAAGACTCAAGAGTCAAATTAGTTTGACATGATGCTCTTTCTAGAGGGGAAGACTCACTGATAGGGAGCAACTTATAAATAAAAGGCTGGCATTTTATGAAGCATTAGGGATTATAGTCCTGATTCCTCCCTGCCTAGCAAGACTGTGGCAGCGTTTGTTATGCAGAAGCAGGCAACTCTACTGCAGAAGGTGAAATCAGGCTGAGAGTTGGGCCCCTCCGCAAAGGGCACAGCCCTGGAGGCCACACCTGGGAGGCTCGTGCATATCAAACTATTGTCTGCCCCTCCGAGCAGCCAGCTTTCAGACCAACCCCTTAGCAGTAGGTGTAAGTTCAGACACTGTAGGGCAGCAGGCTCTGTGGTGGAGGGGAGCGCTATGGAGCAGATAAGCAGTGCAAGGCAGCCTCATGCCACCAATCCTCTGAGCAAGACTGGATCTAGTTGCTATCAGATCTGGTCCGTGGGCCCTAAGTTGCCAACACCAGCTCTAGGATGTTCCAGAGGCCTGGTTCCAATGAAAGGTACAGGAGGAAGATCCCTCAAAAAGCAAGGTCCATGAGCTGTGGCTCATTTCAAACTCAATCCCTACTTCTCTGTAGCTCTCAGAATGGAAGTCCTTGGGGAAATCCCTGTAGCTGGTGGGATTGCCCTGGGTTCAATTGCAGGTAAGTTCTGAGTGTGCAGATCCTGTTTCCATCTAAGAACCACATGGATCTTGGCAGCAGGGAAAGTAGGTTTCTTTTGCCACCCTCCTCTCCTCGATCTTTCTACTCCCTGCTAGTTTTGGTGTTCTTGTTGCTCTGATTTCCACACCACTTAGCTTTCTCCCTCTTGATGTCAAAGTTAGGATGCCAGTCTCAGCCTCCCAGTGCTATCAAGGGGCTGGAAGAATAGAGTGCTGTAAAAAACTGCAAGGAACAGCAAAGTAGGGAAACTTAGACAGCTCAGAGGAAAGAAAGGTGCAAAAAAATAAAAAATCAGTATTTTTTTAGCTTCCTAATTGTTGGAAGCTTGAGAGCTTTTCACTGTGCAGAGCCTTGTTTATGAAAACATCCCCATTAGCCATCCTGCCAACTGAACCCGTCTTCTGAATGACAGGAAACCTTTATTTCCACTGCAGAGAAGCCCTCAGCTTCAGTTGTGCCATGGCTCAGCCTAGTGTCTAAGTTATCTAGTGGGTAAAGTGGCATCAGCTTAGTCAGTCAACACCATGCCTGGTACCTAGATTTACAGCTTCTAGCATAGAAGCAAACCTGCCATCTAACATTAGATTCAGGGGCCAGGAGACTTGTGTGGACGCACCCAATGAGAGGTGCTTCTGAATTGCTAAAACCTGCTTATCAGCAGGGCCTGATAAGTTTACAATGGGAGAAGTTGGCTGCGGAACAATCTGCTACCTTAAATGTAGCTGGCCACTTCTTTAGCAACCCTTGCAGCTTCTAAGCTTGAGCATCTGGGAGGAAGTGGCCAGCTTATACTTACTGTTCTGTTTTTTTCCTCTCTCTGGTCAGGAACAGCCCCTGCCTGGGTAGGGATGTACATTGCCAGAAGCTGCTACTTCTTTGAAGAGCTGCCATCAACCGACTTTAGGCTTGTGTGGAAGCCTCTGTGCAGAGGGGCAGGTAAGTTGCCCAGATTCATAAAAGGGTATGCCATGAATTCAAAAATCCCCAGCTGCAGCAGTTAAGAATTCAAGAATCTCGATGAGGAAGGATATACCCTCTTCTGTATCCTCCCACAGAAAAGGAATGGTTTGTTCTTGGCCTGCCTCCAAGGCATTATCCATATAGTACTAGCTCTGTTCAGGGGGCTTAGCTATGGTTTGAGACTATTGCTATGGTTACCTTTCTCCTCACTGTGTAGGAGGATTTTTAATGCAGTCTCCTTTTTTTCTGAGTCTGCTAAAGTTGTAAACGGCACAGTCCTTTCCCAGCTGCCTTCTAAGAGCTGTCAAACTCTTCTCAGAAAGCAGTGCTGCCACTTAGGTGAGCTGCTCTTTTTAATTAAAGAGACTTGTTTATAAGAGACAAAACCAAAAGCCTGGTGGTGGTGTTTAGTCTGAAAGCTTTAGGTGCCTAAAGCCTTTGCATCCAAGAGCAGCTTTTCCAGCTCTTCTTGCGTAAAGACTAACAGTACTCTGAAGGGTTGGTGACTGGATTGGGGCCAGAGACCCTCTGGAGGCAGGGTCATTTCTAGTACCTCTGGTTTTCACCTGCCAGGAAAAGCAGTTAGCCAATATTGTTCTTACTTAGCCTGCTTCCATAATTACAAGTATTCAGTGCCCTGTTAAGACTTGTCCTTAGTGCTCTCTTGTGGCCTTAGACCTATTCTGTAGCAGGGAAGCTTGCTGCACGCCTCTGGTTTTTAGAAGAGTAATATGGGCAAGGCCAGATTGGATAGATCCCTTTTAATGTCTCAGCCTCATGGAATCGGCTTCTAAACAGGCTTAAAATCCTGCCTTTGAAAAAGGGCCCATCAGTTTCTTGGCCTTGTACCCACCAGCACTTTTAACCCATTTCGAATGAGTGGCTTTCTAGGCAAGTTTCCCTAGCGCAGGCTAAAGCAAAGGATGTGTGTTAAAATGAAGTGGAGGCATCCGGCTGAGAAACAATTTAATATAAAATGTGCATTTAACAAAAATTGTTCTTTGGCAATTACTGCACCACATGGGAAATGGCGGCATGCCCAAAAGACGGTCTAACCCATTCAAGAGAGGGAAAGGCCCAGGAGGAGGACAGACTCCCTAACAGCTTGTCTTTCTCCAGACTATATCCCTCATCTCTACTCGTGGGTAGCAAACAAATTCTCCTGCAACCAGACAGTGGCTTCAATTAACGCCCACTCAGAGCAGAAGCCTAGCATAGAGGTCAGTAGCAGTCAGCTTCATTCTCCTCCAGTGTCCCCACAGTAGCCAGGATGTCCTGCAGGAGGGACTGGGGGCTCTTCTCAATGTGATCACTACTCTTATCCAGAGCTGCGCGGAGCCCCTCTAAGTCAATTGTTCCCAGAACCAGCAGGACACTGTGTGGCTCATGGGAGCTAACCCCATTGCCATCACCACTGGGATTGGTCTGGGCCTGGGACATCCATCTCCTCACAGTCGTTTCTAACTGAGCAAGGCTGTGCACTTCTGCAGGTAAACCTCCAGGTCCCAGCCTGTCTGTCGGGCTATCATCACAGAGCTGAGCTTTCAAGGCCAGGAGAATTTCGCAGGCTTTCTGAGCTACTGGCCTGTCACAGTCGCACAATGCACCAAACAGGAACTCAAACAACTTCACTCGCTGAAATATCTGCAGGGACTCGTTCAGACGAGTGGAGCGGGTGGCAGAGGATAAGACAGCAGAATATGGGCATCCAGCAAGGCCAGGCTGGCTAAGCGTCTGGGCAGAAAACGCTTGAGCCAGTTCCAGACCACTGACTTTGACTTCCCAGTCTAAGTCACCGTTCACAGCCTGGATTGCTCGGGAGACAAACTGCTCAGTGTCTTTTAGCACCTCTGCGTGGCCTTCTCTCAGCCAGTCAGTGAAGACTCGGATCACAGCCCTTCGAGGGAAGCCCTCCGAGTCGGTGGATAAGATTTCGTGTAACTCTGTTACAATGTCTTCCTAAGAACAAAAGGGGCAAAGAGAAAGAAGGAAATAAGGGTTAAAGAGCTCAGAACAATCCAGTCTCGCTCTACTGCTGACGCATCTTAAACAGCTGTGGAATCTGCCTCCCCAGTTTTCACACCAGTCCCCAGTATTTTTTTAAGCAATGTCTAAAGAGTTCCAAAAGTTGTGCTCTAACTTAACAGCAGTGCAATTGCTGAGGAGTTTTGCTAAACTATACTGTGGGTTGGACTAGTTTAACATTCTCTTCTGCTGTACCTCTTTGTTGTTTACATCATCTGGGGCAGGTATGTTTGAGACAAGGTGGGTGATGAAGGAAAGCTGCCCCATGGCAGCCACAGCACTTGCTCGCACGTAACTCTCTGGGTCTCGAAGAAGATCCTCTGCAAGTCCTGGCACCTCCGAAGAGAAGAGAACTTGCCTGAACCCATCCCGCTCTGTAAATACACAAGTCCACAGAAAAAACTTTATTCCGCTAACCAGCTCCAAACTGTTTCCACTGCAAACAGCCCCATGCATCGTGTAACTATGCCCACTGACTACAGGGACAGCTGCCAGTGAGCTGATCCACTGCAGAGACCAAACAGCTGCTGGCAAGATCCTCCCCCAGTCAAACTCCAAACCCACCTCAGTGCTGGAAGTCAGAAAATCCATCTGCACACTCCTGCAAGAAAAAAACTCTCCCCTTGGAAAGTCAGGCCCTTGCCTCAGCTTGTTGGATTTAAGATTTCATCCAAAGAAAAGAAGTCTAATCCTTCTAGTTTCAAAGCTATGAAATTCACGTTGACTATTACTCAAAGTGCCACTGGCAGTATGTACAGATGGTCCTAAGCAGGGGCACAAACTGCTCAGGCAACTTGACTTTGTGCTGGAGAGTTCCTTTGCTTGAAGACAGAAGTAAAGAAAAAAGGGACTCTTCCCTTTCTGCCACCACACAGGAGCTATAGTGGGCTCCTGCCCCAGCTACAGTGCCCGGGCTCCCACTCCAGGGGCAATGAATGGTCAGCCTGCAGTGTGGAGAAAGGCTTGGCACAACTGGGCTTACAAGTGATTGTAAGCATCACTTGTTGCTTACTGCAACAAGTGATGCATGCTTACTGTCGTTCAGTAAGCATGCATCACTTGTGCAGCCTCCCCATCTCCTAGAGGGAAGGTTCACCAACTTTCACTGGCTGCATTTTGCTTCTAGGCATTTAACCCAGTTTGAAGTGTTTCCATTTCTGCACGTACCTCTCAAGTGTTTAACTAGGAGGGTGAGAAACTCCAGGGCAGAGTCCCGGACTTCCCAGCAAGGGCTGCACATCCGCTTCTGCAGTGCCAGGAACAGACCTGCAGAAAGCCAGCCATGAGTCTGGATGAACACAAAGTGTACAAGTAGCATTTCTTCAGAGCACTGGTGTCCTTTTAAGCATTGTATACAATGTATTGTAGTGCTCCTGCATACCTCCTTCAGCTCTCTGGCACATCAGATTGGCCACTGGTCTATATTAGTGCTGTCTTATAAAGTATAAGTGCACTCAGTATGCTGAGTGTGAAGGGAAAGCAAGGCAGCAGTTCTATGATGCTACCACTTTTGACTTAGAACTATGGCTGCAATAGCTAAACTCTTGGCCAGTGGTTTCAGTTTACCCCAATTAAGAACTTCCTTACGTTGAAGAACCTGCTCAGTCTGCTGCCAGTGATTGCTGAAGCTGGGAGGGTCACATAAGCACAAAATCCACTTGAACGTAGCTTGAAATGATTTTTTCAGAACCTGAAAACAAAGCAATAAAAATTGTAAATGTAACTACTACAGGAAGCATGTTTGCTTCCTCACTGGATGGCGTTGGCTTCATCCTCCCCTTCGCAGAGAAACTGCTAGGGACAGCAAGTCAACATCCTCTGTGATCGTAGATGAAGCTACTGAAGCCAAGGATTCTAATGCTGCATGCTTGTGTTCCTAGCAAGCTCCTAGAATACATCCACTCCTAACTGGGTAATGCTAGCTGCTGGCTTCCCGGTGTCTTAATCCTCCAGGATATGCCCAATCATCATTTTATCCATACGCAGGCAAACCCAGCACCAAAGACTAGAAACTCAAGGCTGAGGGAAGTTTAGTGCATCAATAGTACTACTGCATATAATTGCCTCTCTCTCCCTCTAAGGGCATTGACCTTACTTATGTCATGTACTTACTAGGTCAAGAACACTTAAGCCACTTCCTGTGTGTGTCTCAGAACTGAGACACAAAGCTCTTAAATGTTCCAGCACATACTTTATTAAGAAGCAGTTGTTTACAGTTTCAAACACATTTTAGTGGAACCAGATAAGCTACTCCAGCTAACCACTGTTCCTCTGGATCTCAGGATTCTGTACTTACGGTAGGACTGCTATCTGGACCCTCCAGGTATTTAAGAAGGATATCAAATACACTTTCCTTGAATGCAGCATCACCTGAAATACAGGAAAAGTAATAACTGAGGGGTCAATGTTACTGGACCCAGAAAAATCCACTACTGAAACTACATTTATGGTTCCTAAAATGTCTTCTGGCTGGTAGGGGAGTGGGGGTGGGGGAGAGCAAACAAGTTTCATCCTGTTAAAAACTAAAATGCCTTAGGTCTGAAATCAAGCGAAAACAGAAAGATCCTAATTAGCAAAACTACTTTGATCATTAACTGCGCTACTTTACCAGAAATAAAGATGTGTTGCCGAACTGACATACAGCAGAAGGAGCCTCAAATGGGATCTTTTTCTTACCACAAGACAGCAGTCCCAGACCCAGAAGTTTAAAAAGGGAAGGGGCACGTGGTACTCTGAGCTCTCTTTAAACCCAGAATGACCAAAGATTCAAAAATAAATGTACTGGAGCATAAATTCTGGAAAAGATTCACTCACTTGCCCACTGAGACAGAGCTCCCAGAAGGTCAAGCGCTGACCTCTGAACTCTGAAGCAACCAATCAGGATTCTGCTCATCCTACTTCCCAGACAGGAGACTGGAGTTGCAAGGCCATTACAGAATTGTAATGTTATCATGACAGATTGCAGCAGAGGTATATGGGGCACATCCACTGGCAAACTAGCCTAAGAGAGAAATCAGGTAAGTTTTCCAGTGTGTCTGTTGTGCATCTGTACACAATATAAAAATACAAGTAGCAAGAGAGAGGTTGGGTAGGACTGGCAGAAGCCTGTTTAGTTTTAACACGCCCATCTCTGATATCACAGAAGTCAGACAGTTATTGAGGCATTCTCATCCTGTCCCAAAATGCCACTGCACAGGCAAGAGGACCACTTATCATTACTTCTAGACACAGTGTGACCAGTTGACCATGTGAGGTAACAGCAGTCTGTTTTGACTTCATCAGTTCAAACTCTTGCAGTTCTAGCTGGTAAATTTGCATATAGGTGAGTGAAAGAGGAGAGATGAATCTGTCCCAGCTTACATGGACTGAACAGTAGGTTCAAACTCACTTCTACAGTGGATGCATAGAAGTCAAATGTAGTCCCTCTTTAAAAAATGAAATAGGAATTCCTATGTTATACAACTGGGACAGAGGCAAAAAGGACATTAGATTTCTCAGCAATGCCACGTACAGTTAAATAAGTCATCTGTGCAAGCCCTGCTCTATTTCTGTTAAACCCTATAGTGGAAGTTGGTAACCAATCTTAATGCCATCTTTGAGTGAACCCACTCCTTCCCTGAACGTTACCATGCACAGCAGCTCCTCCAGATGAGCTAAAGTCTGACACAGGAGAGCAGCACAAGATGGCTTGGAGGACAGAAGATTCTCAACAACAGCAGAATCCTTTACAGACTCACCCAGGAAACCTGGAAGTGACAACGGAGATTAGCAGAGCCAGCATGGAAGAAAGCAACAGTGTTTGATAGAGAAGACAGCTGAGACTTTTAAGTGAAGAAATGAAGCAATTTACTAAAAGACTCTTTCTCCAATAAGACATCCTCCATTCTTGTAGTTTTACCACAAATGCTGCTGTTCTTAACTTGGTCCCACTCCTAAGCACCTGTTGCTTAGACTACTTTTATTTAAGGGAGCACTCATGCCTTTTTCCTTCGCACAGGACACATTCTTGTCTCTTGAAGGTGGATTAGTTGCTTGTCTATCCCCACTATACCTGGGCATTCCAAAGGTTGGGAGGCTGATCTCAAAACACAGTCCATTGGCTGAAGCAGGACATTCAGGGCCTGGATCGTTACAGCCTGTGGGCTTCAAAAAGAGGAAGCAACAGTGAACACTTCAGTTCCTCCCCAAAGCACTTGCCCCCCAAAAGGTGGATGAGTTAATTTATTACAATTCAGGACAACAGTCCTCCAGCCACAAAGTGTCCAGCAGCTGGTGACAGAGAATATAGTTATCCAAGGCTTTAAGTTTAATTCTAGCCTCTCTGGCTCAGCCAGGAGTCAAGGGAGAAAGTGTCTTGTGGTTCCCAAGTAGCCTCAGAGCAGCAACGGTTGTTAGGATCTGGAGCGAGAGGGTATCTTGAAGGGAAGGGTCCCGGGTGACCTTTTCCAATCAAAACAGTCATCATACTCTCAGAATGCAGGCATTACTCAGCCTGCACCACAGCAGGTAGCTTATTTAGTGTTAATTCAGACTAACTCCCTGCTGGGTTAGAGGCAGACAAGATTCTGTGGGTAAATGTGGTATCTTTTATTAGAGCAACTACATAGTTGGAAAAATTGTTCTTTGCAAGCTTTTGGGTACAAACACCCTTCTTCAAGGCAGAGGGAGAGTCTGCAATTGTTTTGTGCTCTCCTGGATGGGATAGAAGCCCAGCCAGTATGCAAAAATGCAGGTCTGTGAAAATGCAAATGCATGGCAGAGAGGATCAGAGGGAATGGGAAACTATAGGTGTAAGACAGGTCGGTGTGGGGGCAAAGGGGAATGTTGAGCTCCTGCTAGAATGTAGCCGGTAAAATGCAGACAGGTTACCTGGGGTTATCAGATGACAGGCAGCTTACAATGTGCCATTCATAAAACACCGAACTTCACCAACCTCTTCATCAGAAGCAAACTTCCAAATGAATCCAGACCATGGCAGGACAAGAAGTATAAAACCTGCCAACACA